GTGGACCCCAGGGGGCACGGCGGGGGGGGTTTGCCTGATAGGCTTTTTCGCTTCTCGCCTAGTTTTGGGTTGATTTTTTTATCGATGAGATTGACCTTTGGGATATTTTGTAGTTTGTGTCTGTCTGTAGTTTTCCCTTCGTGGATTGTGCCTTGGCAGGTTGGCGGACCCTCGTCGTATTGTTGATGTGGGCGGGTCGTTTTCCGCGTCCGGAATTCGCTCCAATTCGAATGTTTATAGACTCCTTGTGCTTCCTCTTTCTATTTTTTCCCTTCTGGTGTCTTTCTCTTAGCGATTTCGATGCTACATGCTGGTATACATATCATGTATGTTGCTTGACCTGTTTGAGGGGGTGCTAATGGACGCCCCGGGTGCTTGTCAGCGCGCCCCACCGGGGCCCCCAAGGCGGCCCGGGAGGCGCCTGGGGGGTGTCAGTGGAGGCCCCGTGGGCGTGTCAGTGGACCCCCCGGGGCGTGTCAGTAGACCCCGGTGGGTTTGTCAGTAGCACCCCCGGAGAGGGGCTCTAGGTTGGGTGCCCAAAAGTGCTTTGAGTCGCCCCCAGCCGATAGGTCGGCGATAGTCCCCCCGTAGTAGCTCCGCGCCGTCTCGGGCGGGGCGGGCCGTCAGGCACCCGTCGGCGATCCCTGGGCGATTGGGTGTCGGTGCGTCGCCCCCCTGAGTCGGAGGCGCGCTGACGTGGAGCGGAGGAGGCGCCCTCCCCAAAATGCGGCCGGTGCCCCCTCGCTCGGCAGCGGAAATCCGCGATTTCCCATGGAAACGGGGCCGATCGCTGATCCACGCCCCTTTGATCCATGGTTGCGATCGCCTGAGATTGGGTGGCGATGCGTCCCCCCCCCTGAGCCGATCCCCCCCCCTACCGGTGCCCCCAGGGGATGCAGGAGAAGAATGGGCGGGGAACCTGCGCGTGGCGGTGCCGTGTTGGTCCGCAGCGAAACGTCGAATATAAATTATCCCGGCAAAGCAACCTAACAGCGATGTGTAGAAGCATATATGAAAGCATTCCCCTTAAGATTAAGATGAGAATCCAGTTGTAGAATTCTGCTGTTCTCGCAGTCGTAGTCGCATTCGCGATGACAGTCGCAGCGGCAACGGCAGTCGCAGTCACAGCCTCAACCTCAGCCTGCCTCAGCCTCAGCCTCAGCCTGCCTCAGCCTCAGCCTGCCTCAGCCTCTGCCTCAGCCTGCTTCAGCCTCAGCCTCAGTCTGCCTTCAGCCTCGGCCTCAGCCTCAGCCTGCATCAGCCTCAGCCTGCCTCAGCCTCAGCCTCAGCCTGCCTCAGCATCAGCCTGCCTCAGCCTCAGCCTCAGCCTGCCTCAGCCTCAGCCTCAGCCTGCTTCAGCCTCAGCCTCAGTCTGCCTTCAGCCTCGGCATCAGCCTCAGCCTGCTCAGCCTCAGCCTGCCTCCGCCTCAGCCTCAGCCTGGCCTTCAGCATTCAAAATCATGCCCAGGAATGGAATTCTGGGAACTCGAAGATCACGAAGTGGCCTACAGTTGGCTCGGGGCATTCAAAATGTGGCCCGGGAATGGAGTTCTGGGAACTCGAAGAGCACGAAGTGGCCTACAGTTGGCTCCGGGCATCCAAAAATGTGGCCCGGGAATGGAGTTCTGGGAAGTCGAAGAGCACGAAGTGGCCTACAGTTGGCCCCGGGCATTCAGAATGTGGCCCGGGAATGGAGTTCTGGGAGGTCGAAGTAGCACGAAGTGTGTGACTGGTTGGCGGAAATAAAGCGGAACGGCTCTGTTCCGGTTCCTCCCAAAATGTGAGCCCGAGGAATGGGTTTCTGGGAGGTCGAAGTGCACGAAGTGTGTGGACTGTTTGCGAAGAAAAAAAAAAAAACGTTCCCGGTACCCCCCCTGTGGGTCCAGGAGGCTCTCTTTTTGACCTGCTAGAAAAACCTATCAGCAAAAGCTGTTAGGTAAAAAGCACGCCTCCAACGTCTACAACATCAACTATCGCTGGCGGCGCGCAAAGGGGGGGTAGGGGTAGGTGGGAAGGCTTCTTAGAAGGGGGCTGCTTCTTGGAAGGCGGCGGCCTTACATGTGTACAGAAGGCCCGCGCCTTCTAAGAAACAGGGGTGTTTCTAAGAAGCCTTCCCCCCTCCCCCTGCCCCCCTCTGCGCGTGGCCGATATCGGGGAGACGTAAGACTTGGGTTCGGGGGACTCGGGTTGGCCAGACGGAGCCATCGTGAAAATGGCGAGCTCCAATCGGAAATTTGACGCGAACTCCCGCTGCAGGCGTCCAACAAAACTGCACGGTCAAAATCCAGGACGCGCTCGTCAGAACGGCGTCGGCAAACCAGGGTTCCGGCGCATTGGAGTCTTACGCTTCCCCGACACTAATGTCAGGTCGAGCGTGTCCTCCTACAGGCGGAGTTGGGATGATAATACATCATGGTTGGGAAATATTCAAACATAATACCAACACAAATCGTCCCCACATTATTTGTTGACTCATTTTGGAATATTCCTCCTGTAGAGG